GAAGAGTTGAATATTCTGCACTTGGTGGTATCATGGGGTTTTAATAATTTTAGGTCACTTCAGAAGTCTTTCCCAAGTCTCTGAGCAAAGCTTTTGGAGCAATTGCCATGACAATATCCACCTTTCTCCCTAGAGACCTTGTGGGGTGTTTGGGTAGAGCTGGTCAGGTGAGTTATTCTGGTTTTCAAATGAGTCATTATGCCTTGAGAGCTGAACAAGAAACCTGCAGTTTGCTTGACAGCACAACAAGTGAGAGAATAAAGGAGAACATCAGCCACAGCTCCTTAAGAGACAAAAATAGTTATTTGTGTAATGAGTCTCCTGGTGAACTACAAGAGTCCTCCACCATGTGAATAACTGGACTCCAACAGTGGGCTGAGCAGTGGGAAAACTGACTGAGAAGTTTATTTGGGCCTGGGAGGGGAATGGAATGGAATGGAATGGAATGGAATGGAATGGAATGGAATGGAATGGAATGGAATGGAATGGGATATTTCAGCTGGGAGGTACCAACCATTATCCAGTCGTCCAACTGCATACTCAGTTCAGGGCTGGCCAAAAGTTAAAGCATGTTATTAAAGATATTGTCCAAATGCCCTTCAGCAGCTTTAGAGGATGTGGGGTTGATGAATACCCACAGTTAATACTCATGAAGATAGAGAAGGTAAGTGTTATTTTTCCCCATGCATACACTAGAGCACTAAGGCCAAATCTTATCCTCATCAGAGCCTCCCACAGTGTCATCCCTTTGCAGTCTGTAAATAGAACATGTCAAAGGAGTCAGAGGAAGCCCCACAATCAGGATGCTGGTCACGGGCATGGTTTTATAGGTGCAGGCACAGTGGCCTGGGAGCTGGAGCTGTCCTGTTCCATCAGGTTGGTGGTTTTGGAGTGTGTGGGATGGAGTGGCCCTTGACTAAAGCAACCTGTTTGTTGTTTTCAGGAAGAGTGGGATCACAGCAGCAGTGGGAGCACAGGATCCCGGCCGGGGTCGAGCTCCAGGCAGGGCTCTGGATCCAGGTCTGGCAGCCACAGGAGAAGCAGCCAGTTCAGGCAATCAGCCAAGGTATACCTGGTGGTGAGGTGCTGAAGCTGTGTCCCGTGCTTGCTGCTTCTTGGAGGCATCCCCCTCACGACCTGTTTGTGGTGTGTGTCACACGAGGTGTGGGTGCATGTCAGCTGGGAAGGACACTGCAAAGACCTGTTTAATTCACTCATGCTGTGTGACCCACTGAGGTGTGCTGATTGCCTTAGCTTTGGGAAAGAAGTCCCTAGTCAGCTGGTTAAGTGCAAAGGAAATCAGGGATTTTTTCTGTATTTGAAGTCTTGGTGTATTTCAGTTTTGAGAAATCAAGAGATGTCTGTAATTATTTGCTGGCAGGTCTTCAATAGAAGTTGAAAGATGAGTGGGCAGCACATAGATGGTGTTAAATGGTGACCTTAAGTCCAGCTGCTTTCTATGTGAGCTGTCTGCAGGGCTATATGGGAAGTTACCTTCCTACCCTGCAAAAGACTCTAAGAATTAACTTTTTGTATGGTTTTAGGTCCATCCTTGAACTGAGACAAGGGACCATTCCTGTTAGTTTCAGTCAGCCTATGTCCTGTCTTCTCTTGGAGTTGCTCTCCTTTATGCACACAGGAGAACAAGCTGTGCCAGAAATGGATGGCAGACTCTGACACTCTGAGGTTGGGAGCCAGTGGTAAAGTCCTGGTCCATTCATCCATTTCATCCCCCTGAAGATCTTAAGGAAATAGCTTTTCTTCTGAGTCATGCTGTGGTGGGAGAGGACCCACAGAACCAGGTTATATCTGGAAAGTGATGGTCCTTTCTGGTGGGAATGAGACTCAACATATCATTGCCTCTTTGAGCAGGGATAATACTGTCTTCCTGAAAATTTCTATATTTTTGTCTGTATTTTTCATATGAGAACTTGCGGTTTTCAACAAGGAAACCCTGAATTTTCAGGTAGTTCAGTATCTATCTCATCTTTTTTTATTTTCTACCAAAGTGCAGCCAGGGGTTGTAGGCAGCTGAGAAGGAGGAAAAGTGGGGGAAGCTCCTCAAGCTCAGAACTGAAAAATGCTTAAGTAATACGTGGCACAGGATAATCCCTGAATTTATAGCAGAGACCCAGGTGGCCACTTGGTGTTGTTCTGTGTGCAGTGATGATTTAACCTGGTTGCAGTTGTGCAGCAAAGGGCATGATTTCCTATTTGTTTTCTGGAGAATGGAAATGAGGAGCAGCGAGAGGTGGGACGCTGAGCTGGGCTTTGCAAAGCTGCTGTGTGCATGCAAATGCTGACTTTGTGGGGAATTTGCTGAAGCTGCATGCATGGTAAACAGCCAGAGTCCACATGGGCCCGTCCCTGTTTGTGTGGGCAGCTCCAGGGGCTGGGCAGCAGTGGATGGAGGTCATTTGTGCTCACAGGGGCAGGAGGACAGAGGTTGTGGATGTGCAATTAAACCAGATTGTGTGCAGGATCTGCTTTACTGGATGTCTCATCTCTCAGAGTACTGGTGTTACTCGTGAAAGCGTCTCTCTCAATTATCATTCTGAGTGAATTAATTAATTTTCAGCTGTACTAACTCCTTCTCAGTGAAAAAGATTATCTAAAGCTGAGGGTTGGGTCACTGGGAGCTTCATGTTAAAATTGCTGATAGTTATAATTGCAGTCCTGGGGGGACTGACAGCAAGTCACTGCTTTTCTTAAATACATGCCATTTTTAATCTTTTTTTATACCTGGATTTGAGAATTGGCTTTTTGAAGTCTTATTATTAAGTCTTGGCATTGTGCTGTAAGCATTTTAGTAAGCTCCCTCCAGCCCAGGGCTGCAAGGCTGCTGCTCCCTGTCCTGTGAGCCGACAGAGACTGGTTCTAAAGACAGGTCATAGAAGACCAGAAAGGTGTCCTGAAATGGCCACAGTGACTCAGGACTTAATGACAAGGTGTGTTATCACTGGCACCATTTTGTGGAGTCTGGCTGATGCTTGGAGTGTCTCCAAGAGGTTATGGGACATCTTCTAGGAGGACCAGGTCTGGCTGAGAATGTCCAACTGCTGCCTTGGGCCTGCCTGACCTCCTCACTCACCACCTGAAATGGATTTGTCTCTTCTCTGTGTGTCAGCCGTGATAACCTGCACATGTGTGCTTCCTTTACACTGCATTTGAATGCTTGTAAGGATTTAAGAAACTAATTCCTCTCCTTGGTGGGAGAAAATCGTGCTTACATTTGCCTAAAATAAAAAGCTCATCTTCTGTAACTTATCACGGGAGTTATGTATTTCTGGTAATTTGTTTCCGAGCAGAGACATGTCAACTTGCAGATCCCCAGGGGTTAAAATCATAATCCTTAAACCCCTCAGAGGAGACTAAAAAGGGAGCAGTGTGTCTGTGTTTGGAGTTTCGGGTGTTTAAATTGGTTGTGCTGGAAATGACTGCAGAATGTAACCATCTGTTCACTAAGGACATGTGTCCCTGACATTGGTTGGGAAAGTGTTGCTCAATTTGTGAGCAGATTGAGCTCTGGGACTTCATTAAGAAATGGTCACATTTTTTAATGAATTTATAATGTCTTGGTTAATATTAATAATACTTTAAAATGGCAGAAGGTTTATGACGAGGAATCCACCTTCTCTACTATGTATTTTGCCAGAGTGGGACCATTTGGACTGAGTTGCTTAAATAATCTGAATATGTGCAAGATTGTGAGTAATCTGAATAAGAAATGTTGAGGGGAAAATTGGTTAATATGGGCTCCTTATGTGTGTGCAATGCATTCAATCCATCCAGACTGAGTCAAGTCTGATTTCTTGAATGGCAAAATCCAACCTGCTTTACTTCACCTGTAAAGAGTGGAGGGGGCAGCCCTCTTTGTGCAGGGAGGGCATGTGAGGGTTGATGACTGTGAACGGGCTTTGAATAACATATGTGAGGTGTTTGCTTTAGATGCTCGTGCTTTGGGTTGTCCATTTTGACAAAAGCAGCTGCCTGCGCGGGAAAATTCAAGGTGTTTCACAGCTGGCTGGAGATTTCTTATAATGCCCATGGGGAAAGGCCCTGGGGGTGCTGGTGCCAGCATCTGGATGTGATGGGTGGGCAATGGCCCCTGGGCTGTCCCAGCCAGGCTGTGACACAGCCCCAGGGCAGGGCCTGTCCCTGTGCCGGCCCTGCTGAGGCACCTCCAGTGCTGGGACAGCTCTGGGCCCTCAGGACAAGAGAGACCCTGAGGGGCTGGAGCGTGTGCAGGGCAGGGAACGGAGCTGGGAAGGGGCTGGAGCCCCAGGAGAGGCTGAGGGAGCTGGGCAGGGGCTGAGCCTGGAGCAAAGGAGGCTCAGGGGGAACCTTGTGGCTCTGTACAGCTCCTGACAGGAGGGGACAGCCGGGGGGTCGGGCTGTGCTCCAGGGAACAGGGACAGGAGCAGAGGGAGAAGCCTCAGTCTAGGCATGGGGAGGCTCAGGTTGGGCATGAGGAGGAATTTTGTTGTGGAAAGGATTGTTAAGCCTTGGAACAGGCTGCCCAGGGCATTGGTGGAGCCCCCATCCCTGGAAGTGTTCAAGGAACACCTGGATATGGCACTCAGTGCTCTGGGCTGGGTGACATGTGGGGATCGGGCACAGGTTGGGCTCAATCTTGGAGGTCATTTCCAACCTAAATGATCCTGTGATTTTGTGAATCTGAGCCTGGACCTTGGACCTTGGTGGGTCATGGTTGTGGATATGGGGCAGGAAGGCAGGGCTGGAGTCAGAGCTGAGCTTGTGCATTTTCTGCTCCGTGCTGTGCACAGCTCTGTGTCCCCGAGGCTGACACTGTCACTCCTTGCCTTCAGGGTGCACTTTTGCAGCAGGTGAGGGGTCTCTGCATTGCATGGATTCACACAGGAGCACAGGATCCCTTGTGCAGAGCCAAGACAGTGCCGTGGCTGGTGGGAGAGGCTGTGCCCTGGCCAGGATAGCTCCATGTGCCTCCTGATAAGTAACCACCTTTCCATCTCTCCTAGAATGGCAACAAGGAGAGCAACCTTGACATGCTGGGCACAGACATCTGGGCTGCCAACACCTTTGACTCCTTCAGGTAAGCTGGTTTTAAATTGCTCTAAGACAGAGGTGGACTTTTAGGATGGACCATGCCTTGTCTTAGCCCTCGCTGGTGTGTCCATCCTGCTGGTGCCCAGGCACCAGAGAATACCCTGGTAAGGCTGACATCACTGCTCCTCCTCCTCCCCATCTCCATTTAGCCTGTGGCACCAAGCACAGTCTATTTAAAGCATCCTGTGTGTTTTGGAGGGGCCACTGTATGGGTTTGCAGTTCAAACACCTGAAACCAGTACCAGTATAATTACTTATAGTCACCCCAGAACTGCACAGGCAAGACTTGAATCAGCTCTGAGCTGCTGCTCTGGCATTTTACTCTCCCATTAGTTGGAGGTGCCATTATGTGTTGGCTTCTTAACTGCTGGGAAGAACTCTTCAGCTGCTGTCTCAGTGAAAGCAATGAAATATCCTTCCTGTCCAGTTTTATGCATAATCTGCATAATCTTGAGTCACTGGAGCAGACAGGTTGTGCAGGACCAGAGAGAACATCATTTCATGGACCTGTTGCAATACCCTCTTGGTACAGAGAGCGAGTATATCTTGCAGGGTGTCTTCTGTATCAAAATTAGAGGCTTAGATAAAGCCCCAAGAGCTCAGCATACCAAAAAAAAACCAGGAAAAAATGAAAAGAGATGCATCAGTGTGAAGGCTGGAGGCTCACATCCATGTGCTCTGCATCAGGGAGTGGGGAGTGGTGCTTCCAGAAATGCCAGCTTTCCTTGTCTGCAGGCTCCAATGTGCCCTCTGCTCTTCAGCTCAGTGGTGTTTAATTAGTAGTGGACTTCCTTTCTCTGTTTTTCCCTGTTTTTCTCTCCTAGTGGTGCAACGTGGGACTTGCAGCCTGAAAAACTAGATTTCACCCAGTTTCACAGAAAGCTGCGAAACACCTCCAAACACCCATTGCCTCACATAGACAGAGAAGGGTGAGTGCTGTGTCTGCAATACTGTGCTCTCCAGGAAGGTCTCTAACTTCTCCCTTGCTCTAGGAACTCTGGCTTGGTGGCACATCTCACACAGAGGACATGGGAAGAAGCACTGGACTATTTAGAGAGTTTGAGAATGCCATGATCAGTCTGTCTGGCTCCTCTGTCTTCCAGTTCTGAGCTGGAGCAGAGTTGTTCTCTGTATTTTTGCATTGCCTGGTAGATCTCAATGTTAAAATAACTCTGAATCCAAGTCTCCTAGATCCTGGTGTTCTAAATTTAGACATCTCTGGATATTGGAGGAAAGATCCTGGCTTAGTGCTGACCTGGTTATAGTTCCTGTGAATCACACTGTTCTTCCCAGCAAGAGTTCAGGGAAGGAGAGAGCATCAATGTGTTTCATAAAACTGTGAAAACATTCAACAGCTCCCTTTGGTTGTGACAGCCTCCACAGGTTTCCCTGGTATTTCTGGATTCCTTACTGGTTGTTGGTTGGTCAAACCAAGTAAATGTGTGCTCACACCAAGTGTCTCACTGGCATTGCTTAGATAGGTATCACCATTTCCCTGCAGGTTCTCTGTAGATGGAGAAACCATCACTCCCAGACAGGAGGGTGCAGCCAGGTGGGAGTTGGGCTCTTCTCCCCTGTAACAAATGACAGGATAAGGGTAAAGGCCTCACGTTGCATATGGGGATGTGTAGGTTGGATGTTAGGAGCAGTTTCTTCATGGAAAGCGTTGAGTTGCCATCCCTGGAGAAATTTAAAAACCACGTGGATGTGGCATTTGGGGACATTGGTCAGTTGGACAATGGGAATGCTTGGACTTGGTGCTCCTAGAGGTCTTTTCCAGCCATTACAATTCCATGATTCTATAGATCAGGTTTTCCTCATGCTATCACTCAGAGCATAGAGGAAGGAAAATATTAGAACAGGTCTAAAAGATGTGGTTGCAGCTGATGTTCCATCACTGCCATGTTGTTTGCAGGGATGTAAATCTTCTCTTGGAGACATTTTTCTGCTGATAATTTGGTTTTGCCAAAGTACTGGCCTGTGCCATATGCCTGGTCTGCACATCTCTTGTTTAGAAGACAAGTTTAGAATTGTTATTAGAACAGTTGATTGGAAACAATTAGAAACATCCATCCAGGCCAGAAATCCCATACCACCCAGGCTCAGCATCTGCAGTAGGCTCCTGTACCATGCAGGGACAGGAAGACTCAGACAACCTTTTTTTCTGCTCTGTAAGTAAGGTATACTGCAGGTTTGTAAAGAGCAGTTTTCAGAACATTTGGAACAACATAACACTAAATTTCTAAGTCACAAAATCTCTCAGTCAAGTTCAATCCCATTTTTTCAGATCAGTTTGAAAAAATGAGATGAAGGGGCCCTCTATAAAATAAGATATAATGTGCTTCTTCTGTAAAAGAAGATACAATATGCTCCATGGTTGATGGCACTTGCCAGGCAATCCTGCCAGTGACAGCTGCTGTGTGCAGGGAGGATGGAGCAGGGTTGGTGTTGTGTTTTTCCTCTGATTCCTGATGTATTGAGAATGCCCACATTGCAAACAGGTAGAGGAGGCAGTGTGAAGGTGAGATATTTAATCACTCCTCAATATTGCAGCTGTTGAAGTGGAGTAAAAATTAGTGCATATGCAAAAAAGTTAAGCAGATGCTATCAGCACAAAACAGTGCATGTTCCAAAATGCATGCCATGTAAGTAACCTGGCTAGGACAGAAGAAGCACAAAGAAAGACGAAATTGTTCTTTTTTTTTTTTTGATTTCTAAAGCTGACTGTAATGTGCATTCATCAGCTCTCCATGGTGAATCTGTGCTGAGATTCAGCTTGCTGAGCCTCCATGAATCTCCACCTGCTAGCTAGGCATTTTCCCCTCTTGCTTGAATAGGAAGCTTTTTTTAAAAATTTAGCTGTGCAGTGAAAAAAATAATAGGGAAAAAAAAAGGACTATGCTGTTCAGTGTGTGTTTTCAACACTAAAAGAACCATTTTATTCCTCAGTCTGATCAGTTGCCCAAGGCTGGCCATGGAGTTGCATCTAGTTGTGTGACCTCAAGTGACTTTTGGTTGGGTGAAGCATTTTCCTGCAGGGAGACACCTGCTTTTCTTGGGAGATGCTGTTTGGTGGCATGCTGAATAATCACAAGTGGAACAGTTAAGAAAAAGCAGGGAGCTGTACTGTGTTTCTGACCTGAATTCATCTGTCTTTAATTTCCAGTGCTAGCTCTTGCTCTGCTTGTACTCTTCCAGATCAAACATCCTTTTGTAGCTGGTATTTTCTCTTCATTCCAGGTATCTCCCAAGCACATGTGTCACTTGAGTTTTTCAGGTACTCTAAGGAATTTCCCTGTGGCCTCTCTGAAGCACGACTTTGCCAGCGCTGCCTGTGGTCCTGTAGCTGGGGCTCAGCCATGCTGTCTCCAGAGGAAAGCTGCCTTCTTCCCCCTAATCCCTGCCTTCTCTTCATCCCCTGCCTTTTTGCCACAGTTCAGCATCAGAAATTCGGCCTGGGACAGTCCCCACCCTTTTCAGACGACCTTTTCCTACAGTACGCTTGTGTTTGTCACCTGCAGCTGGCATTGTTTGTACCCAGATGTGTGACAGGATTTTTCTCGTCTATATAAATACATATATATAAATATTTTTTTAGATGTGTGTTTCTGTATGTGTATGCACACTATATTTTTACCTTTTTAAGTCAAAGTCAGTATTTCATCTATAATAGAAAGTCAATTGTTGAACACCTCTGATTTCCAATAAATACAGAATCACAGAATGGTTTGGGTTGGAAGGGATCTTCAAGATCACCTAATCCAGCCCCCCTGCCATGGTCAGAGGTGCCTTTTACTAAACCAGGGTGCTCAAGTTGATTAAGGTTAATTAAATTGCTTCCCTTTGGTTTGCTGGATTTTGAGCCTGGTACTTCTGCATGTGCCATTTTTCTCAATTTTTTCTCCCATTTTCTCTAATCCAAAATCTGTTTTGCTCTGACTTCTAGGCACTGATTACTTGGGTCTGCTGCTACCAAAGTCTCTACTGTATCTTATTTAACATTATCTTGCTTCTAACTGACAAAAAAAAAAGTATTTTATCATTCTTGCATAATAAAGAAAGATCATCTCTGTTGTTTGTGAACATAGAAGGATGATAATTGTTGACCATTTCTTTCTTTATCTGTATCATCACAAACTCTTTGCACCCAACTAGTAATTATCTTTGGATTGTTTTTCTCATTTCTTGTTCCAAGAAAGTCCTTCAGCTGCCACTTCTATGTATGGTGTGTGAGTGCTTGACTTCTCATCCCAACTTCTTTGTCTTTCAAATTGTCTGTTTATATTTATATTGATTGCTGTTTCCTGTCTGAGGTGTGTGTTTGCTGATTTTCAACACCTTTCTCATCAGGGGAGCTGGAGCTCCCGTGGAGACCAGCAAATGAGCAGCACTTCAAAGGAAACGTTTTTCATTACTCTCTTTGTGCTCTCATTTCTGCTGTCCAGGTGGGGCTGTGCTTTCAGTTTTGCTTGGTCTGGGCTCAGGACTGCCTTTGGTTTTCTCACTGCTGCTACTACCAAAAGTGTTTGCAAGCTGTGGCAGATGGTGCAGGTGGAGAGGACTGAGCAAAGCATTTAATTTTGTATTAACAGCTTTACACCTGCGTGGGAGTGTTTTGGAGGCACAGCACACTTGCTCCGGAGAGAGCCTCTTTGTTTCCATGAGAGGCCTTTGCAGCAACAACTGATATTCCCCTTGTGCTGTAATAGAAAATTAACTGTGTCTCCAACGAGTTTTCATGTGCTTTTGTTTTGTTTTCCTCTTGCCACAGGCTTGGAAAGGGGAAATACGAGGATGGTGACAGCATCAACCTGAACGACATAGAGAAAGTCCTTCCAGTGTGGCAGGTAGGTGATGAGGACACCTGCCCCTGCCATGGTGGGGACCAGCAGCAGAGCCTTCCCTGCCTTCTGTTCCCTTAGGAAACCCTCCTCAGGACTGGGAGAGCTCCTGGGCTGTGGTCCCTTAGGGGTTGGGATGGAGATTTGTGCCTGTGGTTTCAGGTGTTGGTGCTGGGCAAGGGCAATTACCATGCAGACTTTGTTAGGAGGTGATACACTGAGGGCAGTATATACCTATATATGTATACATGTGGATGTACACAGGGCTCATATGTTGAAGAAAAGGAGATTCTGAAAAGCATCAACCCCTCCTGACAGCTCCAAAATAGATTGCTGCCAGAAAGCCAGCAGTGCCTGTGTGCTGACCCAGGTATTGCCCCTTTGGAGCAGTGCCCATGTTTATATGCAGAGGTAATCCATGTGTGTGTTCTCTCCAGCCTGTTCTTTCCCCAGATCTCTCTTTGCAGTTTTGGCAGTTCTGGTTAAATGACCTCTGATGTGTGGATGTTTTGGAATAGCAGGATGAAACCCTGCAGTTCAGAAGAGAGGTTGAAAAAGTCAATTTGTCAGCATCATACAGTCTTCCATTTTACAGAGCCCTAGTCCTCAAAGGAGCTGAGTTCCCTAAGCTAGGCAAGTTTCAGAGGATGCTCACTGTGTTTTTTCTGAAACCTCTTTGCCTCCAGAGGCAAGGATGAAAACATCTCATGTGCTGTGGTAGTGTTACCCTTTTCTAGTGCTGAGCCAAGAGCTCACCAAGTGTGGGAATTTTGAATGAATTAGAGGTGGGACCTCTGAGTTCGTTTAGATGGTGTGATTTTGTTTTTAATCTTTTACATAGACAGGAAGGCTGAGTTTGGCTCACATCTTCACTGCATGGTTCAGAAGGTCACAAGACCTCTAGTTACAAGACCTTTTAAGGATTTATTAACTAACAAACAGTAAGCTGCCAACAAGGATATTTATGTTTTTGACCTAACCCTTAAATATTTTTTCTTATGGACCTGTGCTGCAGTGTGAGCTTTCTTAGCCAATCATGTTGTGATAAACAAACCTACAGCACAGCATTCTAAACTCCTTGTTCACCTCTGTAACTACTTTTATTTTTTCTATATCTTAAACTCTAAAGCTCTAAACTTTCTTCTACTTAGCTTAATATGTGTCTGCCTTAAACTATAAATCTACATTCTCGCTTTTCGTACTTAAGCCTTTTCCAAGGTCTCAAATCAAATCTTGTGTTTAATTCTAAGCTTTGGCTTATAGGCCCAAAGTTCTGAGAGTTCCTCGCATTTCGGATTCCAACGGCCAGGCTTCTTGTTCACCTCTCTAACTACTTTTATTTTTTCTATATCTTAAACTCTAAAACTCTAAACTTTCTTCTACTTAGCTTAGCCTATGTCTACCTTAAACTATAAATCTACATTCTCGCTTTTAGCACTTAAGTCTGGGAGCCTTTTCCAAGGTCTCAAATCAAATCTTGTGTTTATCTCTTTTCATTCTAAGCTTTGGTTTACAGCCCCAAAGTTCTGAGAATTCCTCGCATTTCGGATTCCAACGGCCAGGCTTCTTGCTCACACATCATGTGAGGAAGAGCTTTGCTCATCCTGCAGACCATGTGACAATCTGCCTTACTGTTTCTTTTGGGTGAACTGTTTGGCACTGAGTCCATGAAGGAGTGGAGAAGGGCAGCTGACTTTGGCAGGGAGGAGCACTGCCTGCAGCTGCTTCCTGCTCAGTCTCTTCCATGTTTGGTATGTCTGGACTTTAGGTCACAGGGAAAAAACATCAGGTTCAGCTGATACAAACCCCATTAATACTGCAAAATAAGGTTAGTTTCCCTGGGGAATAATTGGAAATGAAGAATCAAACTGTCTTTGGTGCGAGGAGCTGATTACCTTCAAGAGGATTTTAATCAACAGCTGTTAAATAAGCCAGGTCCTCCTGGTCTGGCTATCATTTCATCATGTCCTAAGAGTATATTGAATACAATGAATTCATTCCAATATATGCCTTAATATCTGGCTTAATTATTAGTGTGACATCTCTAAGCTGGAAGATCTAATGGGAATGCTGGATTTGATGTTTTGTTTGTGCCTCAGGCAGACTCGTGCAGTGCTGCATTGCTTTGCAGACATGCTTACCTTGGCATGTACAGGCAGTCATATGTGTCTGTGGGAGCTAGGACCCAGGTGGCTCTGGGTGAGGGTTGATCTTGTTCAACATGGACAAGTGAAATACTTGCAGACAGCTGGCTTAATCCTGACATATCATTGTTAACTGGATTTGAATGCAGCCGTGCAATGCTGACAGTGATTTTACTGCTCCTCATCCCTTGTTTTAAATGGCTCTGTGGAGCAGTGGAGGGGGGGGCATAAGGGAAGATATTCCTTTCTCTGAGCCTCTGAAAGGAAAATCCTTCACCCCCGTGGGGTTGTTACATTCATGGGTGTTGCACCCTGAGGAAGAGGCTTTTCAGGTTGGTGATATATAAACTCCTGTTCTGTCTGTGTTTGAGAGCTCATGGGTTGCTTGCAGCAGGCATGCACAGATGGAGGGGCCAGCATCCTCCAGCTCCTCTGGGGTAGTCTGAGCATCCTCCAGAGTGACTGAACCAGTCCAAGCATCCTCCAGCACAATTCAGATGGAAGTGTTTAGCTGCTGGGTGTTCTTCAGCAGCCATGGAAAGGTTAAAAGCACCATGTTTGAGAGAGATAGGGAGACTTGCTTACAGGCTGCGTGGAGATTTGTGTGCCTTTGGTGTTGAAGTGTGATAGACATAGGACATGAATCTTGAACCAATCTCCAGTGTACATCCAGGGCTGTATGGGTGTCCACAGAGAGATGCAGAGATGTCGCTAATTAAGCAGAATATTGTGGTTGTCTAGGGGTTGAGCAGACTATTCTGGATATCTGGGTGTTAATTTCCCCCTATTCATGAGTTTTTCTGCTGAAATCTATCAATAGTATTTTAATAAAATATTGCAGGGAAAGCCTATGACTATTTGGCAATTAAAAGATGGAAAAATAAACAAAGCAAAATAAGCTACCTTTCCCCAGATCCTCTTCTTTTGTTTGGAATTCGTGCATCCCAGTCCTCGGGGATGCTCTCACAGCATGGTGTGCTCTGCCATCTCGTGGACATGCACAGGCTTCACAACTCCTTCACCACAACTCGTGATTTGAAGCTTTCTCTTGGCCCATACTTTCAAAATCCATCTGAGCTGCTTGTTTTTACTGGTGAATAGGTTTTTATTTTTGAAAGCTTCATGACCAGGAGCTCATGAGGTCATTGCCTTGGCTCAGCTCATAAGCCATAACCTCTTCATCTCTCCTTACTCATAGGAGTCTGCAGTAGGATTTGGGCACTAATTCACCAAAGTGCTGCCAAAAATTACTCTTTTGAAGGTAAGTGTTCTCCATTCATAAGATCTGCTTTTTACTGCACACCAGGGAGCATCTGCTGCATAGGGAGGCGCAGCTCAGATGCAGAAAGAGTCTTTATCATCCTCTCCATTTCCACATCAGCTGTTCTGTTGAAGGAGACCACATAACCACCTTGGCGTCATGAAGACGTCACAGGGAGGGCTGACTCAATGCCTTTTGCTTTTGCTCCCTTTGGCAAGCACTTGGGAAGTTGTTCAGGCTTGGATGTGTCACATGCAAAGTGCTCTGGTCCCATATTTAGTCTTCAGAGTCCTTGGCAAGCAAGCCCTTGGCAAAATGTACATTTACCAGAGAAAATAACCCAAGAGGTCGTGTTCTGCAAAATCATAGGATCATGGAATCCTATGCAAAACCTGTCCTATACAAAGCTTGGGTTGGAAGGGAGCTTAAGGCTCATCCCCTTCCAACACCTTCCACTCTCCCAGGTTGCTCCAAGCCCTGTCCTGGACACTTCCAGGGTTGGGGCAGTCACAGCTTTTCTGAGCAAGATCCAGCCTGCTCCTTCCTGTGGAACTGCTGCAACTCACAAAGGACACAGGAGGCTGCATGTCACAGGGCTGTGCTGTAAATGCTGCTAGACACAAGCAGAGAGTTTTGGGACATGTCCCAGGTGGTTTCTGGACTTGTGTATTGCAGAGTTTGACTTTCAGTTTGCTGAACTCGTGCCTTTGGGATGGGCTTGTCCTCCTTTGAATGCTGGGAATGTGCCTGCACTGCCCAGCTGGTCCTTGCCTTGTGTTTTAGGAGGTAGAAATGTGGCACTCCAGAAAGGCATATTGGGCTTTATTGTTGTAGTGAGATAAACTTGGAAGATGGCATTGATATCATTTGGTTTGGCATCTTACTGCCTTCAGCTCATCTACTTCCGTTTCCTTACTGATTCTTGACCCTTTTTGTCATATGCTTGCAGTTACAATAAACTGCTTGTTTCTCTTCTGGCTGCAGTCGTCATCCAGCTTCCTTGTTGGAAGAGAAACAAGGGAGAAGCTCCTTAGGAGAAAGGCAGCCTCTAAGTTGTTCACATTCCTCTTAACACCATTGCGTTCCTGGTTTTGTCCAAACAGGATTAGAAGCACCAGGATTCCTGATCCGGTTTGTAGCTCAGTCTATAGGTGCTTAGGCAAACACATTTGTTATTTAAACTCTTCCTTTTCACACATGCCTGTGTTTGAAAGCAAAAGCAAGCAAGCTGCAGGTTCTTCCTTTAGCCTTGATGCTGTGCTGCTTTTCTCCTGGTGCTGGTTTAAACCACCGGGATTGAGGGACCCACAGGCAGCTTTGCCCATTTTCCTTGGGACCTCTTCTCACTGACAAGTATTTTCAAGTCAGACCTTACAGTTCAGTGTGGAGATCATGTGAGTAAAGGTGGGACTTGTGCATGGGCTGGTCACTTGGGGTTCCTGCCCCAGGTGAGGCATGGACATGCTGGGACATGGATTGTTGCACCTCAGTGTAGAGGTCTAGGAGGGGCTGGATGATTCCCACCTGAGGTACCCATGTTCCTTCCCTGTCAGCTCTGTAGGGTGCAGAGACAGACCACTTCTCATGTGGGTTTGGTCAGA